ACTGAACACTTTTCAGTACATCTGGTGAGTATGCCATTGGAGAGGTTCTTTTGATTCACACCTTTGATAATAGCACCAAATCTCTTGCCAACTTGAGAAAGTTTTGATATTCTTGTTTGGCGTAGCCTTATGATGAAATAAAGTGAATGAAACACTTGGCTTCTTCTCCAACCCCTCTATGGGGGGTGTCCTTAGCTAAAATGTGACACAAGGGAAGCATATGATATTGCCTTCATGTCTTTTCTTTTGAGACCTCTCCATTTCCTTCCTGCACCTCTGTTTCCTTCAAGGTTCTCCACTGCTGCAGGATTAATCTTAGCTAATCAAATTCCCAAGAATTAACTCCTCCTTCTGATATGAGAGCTGATAAAGGCTTAGGGGCACTTGTGTTATTCTTCCCAGGAGTTCATGTATTTCTACAGGGTCTTTTTCAAGATCATGACACATATTTGGGACCCAAAAGGATGAATCTCTAGTGGCTAATTTCAGCTTAGTGGTAGACAGTGGTTAGGGAGACCCTGGGCAAAAGTATTTATTGCTTAGTTATACCATGTCGGTGACGTCTTTCTCCCCAGGCCGGAGAAAGTTGCCTGCACATCCCTAGAATGTTGCCTACACATCCACACCTGCCTCTGGAAGTGTAGCTTGTCTTTAGGTAGAGCTTTGCTTCTAGATTCAGGTGACTCAGGAACAGGCACCCTGCTGCTGCTGGTCCAGCCCCAGGTCTCATGGCCCAGGCTGAGACAAAGCCTTGATCTGAGCTTCTGCTTTTGTTCTTTAGGGTCTGAACCCCCATGTTCTAAACTTATAATACCCAACTTAGCCAAAATGTGCAAAGGTGTGTCCTGTCCCTCCAGGATTCTTCTTACCCCATTTTATTAGGGATTAGAGTCCTAGAGGCAGCTGCCCACCTTCCCACATCCTGTCTATATTCCTACCTGCATCTCTATAGTCCTGTTTCTAGACAGGGTGCATTGTCCTCTAACACCACATATGCCGAGCCTTCCTGAAGTCCACTGCTTATCTGAGGGACTACTTGACTGCTTTCTGCTATTATACTCTCTTAGTATCCTGTATCTTTCCTCATCTACCAATCATTTGTTTTTGATTGCTTATAGTGTGTCAAGCTTAAATGCTAATGGCACTTCATAAATGTCCTCATTTCATTTTATGACAGCCCTAGGAATGTTGGTTCTATTATTATCCTTGTCTTCAAGATGAGGAAATTAAAGTTCAGAGAGGTTAGGTAACTTGTCTTATATCCTACAGATAGCATCAGGGCTTGGATTATAACCTGTTGATTTTATTCTAAAATCTGAGCTCTTAACACTGGGCTCTGCTGCCTGCAGGGTGGCTGTCCTTCATTGCCTAGAGGACAAGTGGCTTTCCTAAGTGCCTGTTACTCCAGTAGGCACATGCTGGCCTCGTTTGTCCTGCCCTGTTTTGTTCTGTTACACCCAACTAAACTATGGCACCGATATATGCAGATGACCCAGAGTTACGTGAATCTCCATATGCAGCCTCAGGTTTCTTGGTTAGTTACCCACGTGAGCACTTGTTTGGCACATAGTAGGTACTCATAATTATTTAAATAGATGAATGGATGAACTCAATCGTAGCATGGAAGTCCTTTACTTCACTGTATTGCTTTTCAAGGAAAATGTGTATATATATATATATATATATATATACATGTGCACTCTCATATTGCCCTTAATATTACACCACAGTGAAAATTTCCCATTGCTAAGGTTCAGTATTTCCTTGGGTCTACAATGAACCTGTTTGTGAACTGGATTCTGTCTTATAAACAACCAGGTTGCTCAGCTTATTTCATAGAAATCTTCCTATTTCCTGAAATGTGCACATATGTAGAGAGATTCCTGGGCTTCATGCTAGAATGTGTCAAAGATCACCATTTTGATGACAGATGTGGTATAAATAGGTGGATTTCAGTTTGAGAGTTCACCAAGAATGTTTGCCAATAATGAAGATATTTCCACCTAGCGGAGATCATAAATCATCATAGGAGAGTCAAATGAACTCAGTATCTTTTTTTTAAATGGAGGTCTGGCTACAGGGCAAGTGAAGCAGCTAATGAATTTTACTGTATGTGTGTTCAACTTTATGGGTATGCACATATCTGTTCATGTGTGTGGGCATGAATCTGTACATTTATGTATGTGTATGTAATATGTGGGTGGGCATGTAAGTAGGTATGTATGTATATATGGTATATACGTGTAGGTATGTAACACATGTATGTATATATGTATATTTGTTTGCATATGTGTGTGTATGTTTGTGTGTTTGTGTGCACATCTGTGATTGTATGTGTGCATGGGAAGGGAGAACCAGACTGATTAGGGCCCAAATGAGAGCAAACGCTAAGGTTAGATTTACCCTTTAGGAGTTGGGGTAGACTGGGGTGAAACCTGGGTTTGCAAGAGAAGTATAGGCATATCAGTGAATTTATGATGGTTAGTGCTTATTATCCAATGAAAATGATCTGGAGTCAGTTCCAGGTGGCAGCCAGATAAAAAAATAAAGCTGAAGTTTAGATGCTGTAGCCATATGTTTGTAATATGACTTATATTTATAACTAAACTCACTTAGAGGATGACAGTTATGTAATTCGAGGATTTATGAGATAGTATAGCCTTGTGGAAAAAGACCTACATTTGAAATCAAGGGGTTCAAAATAACTTTCCTGTCATTTATCAGCTGTGTGATTTTGGGGAGGTCAACCTATTTTCTCATTCAAGGATAGGGTTAGAAATACCAATCGTCGTCTTCTCCACAGGCTGAGGGCACAAATTTCAGTGTTGGTGTGATACTCACACTAAAGAAAATGAGGTACCATTGTGGAAAAATGGAGGGAGGTGAGTAAATTGGCAGTTATGGGTGCATGTGTGGGGTCCCACAGCTAGGGGACGAAAGCTTTGTCTACCTCACAAAACAGACTCTTCATTCATGTTGAGCTTATGAGCTTGACAAGATAGACACTCCTTTCTGATGTCTTGGAAACTATGCAGTGAAAAAGATTTACTTTATAATTCCATTCAACTGTGGATTGAACTGAAGAGTCAAGGAGTCCAAAGTGGTCAGCCTGAAAATTCTGAGAAGATACAACTGTGCAAGCAGAAATTTGACGAAGAGAGATGGACTGGGAGGTGAAATGGTAAGCTTAGGTGCTGGGGTGGAAGCTGAGCTATGTCACTCTTGTCAGCTGGGGTGGGAGGTCCCCCTTGCAACCTGATGGGCTCTATTCAAGGAAAAGTGCATGTGTGGTGGTGAGGGGCAAGAGAAGACAGCACCCTTCCACAGGCGAATTTACAGGAACATGGACAGAGGAGAATCCCCTTTATGGACCATATGTCATGCATGAGGATGATTAATATTGGCCCTCTTTGATAGTGCTTTCTAGAAACTATCACAGCACCAGTTTTGGAGAAAAGTAGAACACATTATCTCTGGCTCCTAGAGATGGTGTTGCAGAGAGGCAGGGCAACCTACCAGAGATAACTGCTTTTGTGTTCTAGTCCTGTTGGAAGGTGGTCTGACAAAGTTAGTTCCCTTTGATTTACTCTAACAACTCAAGTTGAAATATCTGGCAGTAGGGCCAGGTGTCTAAGGCACAACATTTAAGGAGGCACTGACTCACAATGTCTCAATCTCAGTGCACTCGCTCTCAGTGCCTCCTTAAATTTTGCCTCCTAAAAGCCCTGCTTGCCTCAACCCAGTCCAGACTCTGCCTTGAGGACTTTTTGAGACCTGCCCTTTGGGAGGCCAGGAGGGCACGTTTTTCACTTGCTGTCACCACTTGGTTCTCTCTCCCCCAGTTCTTCCTGAAGTCTGTCATTCTGGCCAGGATTATTCCTAGGATATTGCCACCTGGGCAGGGCTTCATGGTGGAAACTTCAGGACTTTTATGAAGCCGGCTCTATGAAAACATCTTCAAAGGCAAACACCCAGGGAAAGGAGAGAAGATACGGTTTTAACAGGGTTTGATTTTCTACCCAGGGTCCAATTTTGCTGGATTACATCAGTGGCTCCAGGCTTTATGTGAGGAGTTATTTCTCGTGTTTCTGAAACTCTGACTTTCCTGAGTAAAGTGCTATTATTGGGGGAAGAAGAATTGGAGGATAAGGATGAGACAGTAAAGTCCCTAAGACAAATAGGGAATGAGGCACAGGGGCCGTGGCAGGTGGGGGAGGACAGTGAGGAGAGTGGCAGCAAGGAGCTTGGAAGTCTCCCAGATAAGAGTTGAGCATCTGTCTGTAAGACTAGAATCTCTCCGCTTGACACCGTGAGCACTGGGAACCCTTTTCCACTGATTCACACCATTCTCTCCTTCTGTAGGGGGCTGGCATCTTCAAAACAAAGCAACTATCAAAAGCCCTTTCTTCCTTCTTACCTCCTCCCTCTCTCACTGTCTGGGTAGCTTACATGCCCTTCCTTCCATCTGCATATTAAACTTTCCCTTCTATATATCATACTCTTATTGAATTCTCTACTGCTTATGAATGACTGAATTTACTTTTTGATCCTGAAAAAATTCAGTTGTTGAATTAAACAGATTAAAACAGTTTACCAACAGAATACAGTGTCCCCGTATTACCTTATCACTTTGCAATTAGAGTACTTTATCATTTCTACACACATCATATATTTGATGCAACTCTGTATGTTAGGCAATATTATTGTCCCCACTTTATGGATTAGAAAACCAAGGCTAGGGAGAAATGGTGACATTTTCAAGGGTAGCCAACTGGTAAGTGCTGAGTTTGGGACCAGAACTCAGCTCTTTGAATTTCTATTTCAGAACTTTTTCTTATTGCTTCTCCAGTCAACCCAAGGGTGGGCCCTGCAGAGTAATAAGAATGCTTTCAATCAGCTTTACCCCCAACTTTCTCTCCCACTCTGACCATCTTTTGACTTCACCTTTTCTGGAGCCACTTCAAACACATCATCTTCCCCACACCCAATCAAGCCCTCACCTGAGGGGTCCATATGGGACACTATTAAGAAGATGGCGAAGTCCAGGAAAGAGCAGTTGCACTTCCAGGGGTTTCCACTCAGAAACAGGGTCTCGAGAACAGGGAGGTGGTGGAAGGCATCACTGTCCAGGGTCTGCAAGCCGGTATTTCTGAGGTCCAGGTACCTCAAAGAGGTGGTGTTGGCAAAGGTGAACTTGTGAAGCGATAACAGGTGAGGGTTGTTGGCAATGTTCAGCTGCACCAGGTTGCTGAGCACCGAGAAAGTGAATGGGGAGATCGAGGTCAGGTTGTTGGAGCTGAGGTCAAGGTAGATGAGTTTGAAGACCCCGATGAAGGTGTAATCCATCACCTCTCGAATCCGGTTGTTCTGACAGTCCAAATAAACAAGGTCACTGAGGAGTCCTAGATGCATTGCTGGCAAACTAGTGATTCTGTTCTCGTTCAGGAACAGCCTCCGGGCGTTCAGGGGTATGTCAAGGGGGTATTCGGTTAACTGTCTCCCTGTGCAGATTACTTCTTGGGCTTGACACAGACAATTATTTGGACACTTTGACCCTGATACCAGCCCCATTCCAAAGGAAAAGAGTAACCACCCGGGGCCAGGGCCTGAAGCAAGGGACATAGTAAGAAGCCACAACCACCCTCCTTCCACCTTCCTGCGGGCTCTGTCCCTCTGATCCGAAGGCTGCCGGTGGGGGTTGCTGCGGGGGAGGGGCGCTGGAAAGAACTGTAACACTTTAGCTTTGTGCAAAGCAATTTTCCATTACAGGAGAACTGAACAGAAATTGAAACGCAAGGCTCACTGCCCTGCCGCCCAGCTTGGTGGCTCTGCCACTCGCTCCCAGACTGCCACTGGAAGCTTGCCCATTTGGCAGCTTTGAAAGGTCTCACCCTTTCCCTGCGTTTGCGAGTGAAGGGGAGCCAGGGGAGAGCCACATGACAATGAGGTGGCCAGTTGACACCTTTGTGATGTCAGCAGCCTCAGGAGACTGTCTGGCTGAGGGAAAGAGATTCCTCTCTCCTTCTGGGTGGTGTGGGGGTGTTTTGTGTATCTTGGTAAGCCAGCTGGAGCTCCCTGGGGAAAGTTGAGGCCTCATGGGTAGGGGCCTGCAGCATGCGCCGGTCGGGGACCAGGCTGGGTTCAGTGTGTGGCTGTATATAGTATCTGTACCCTCTCCCCATGGAGCTGTAGTAGAAGATTAGGTGACACTGGACCCCCTAATCTGCAGACCATAGAGGGAACATGGGACATCTCCAGGCCAACTCCTTTTCTTACTGATGAGCAGAGCTTGAGGTTAGTTCTCAGGGTGGGTCTTTTCTTGGGTATTGATTTGAATGGGTGCCAGTTTTTCAGTGTTGTCAGGAGAAGATGGGAAAGGGGGTGCTTCCTTTGAAATGAGGCAAAGGAAATTCCTCTGATAAAGTGGTACTCTTTTAAGACTTTATTCCTAGGATGTATACATCTCTCTCTGCATTTGGAACATATATATATGTGTATTTTATTAAAAAACTTTTTGAACAAGTATAAGCTACTCCTCCTAACACAAAATCCAAATGTATATTTAAAAAAATCTCAGTGCAACAATAGAACTATTTTTTTTTTTACCACTCGTATTCTCCTAGGACTTTTAAAATAGTGCTTCTCTAGTACTTCTAGTGTGAGTTTATATTCATTAATTACTTGTCAGGTGATGGGAGTCTTTTGGAGGGAGGGATAGAAAACCTAGAAGCTGAAGAGTTGCATCAGGCAGAAATAAAACATCTGAGGAACTGAAATTTTTATTTTTGAGAAAATTGGGTTTCATTTTTTAAAAGCGTTCATATATAACTGACTTGTGAATATTAATAACATATTGAAACCTACCAGTGACTGGCACCTGGTATGTAATACATGTATAGTGAATGAACGATGTGAGAATGTCTCTGGTGGTTTGCTTTCTTCTCTTGCTTCTTTGCCAAGAGATAAATTAATAAAGTCAAATGGATTTGTGGCTGGTTAGCTAATGCTTGATTGTTTACTTACTCAGCATTCCTTGGGTGACTGGCTATGAATTAATATGATGACTTAGGCATGTTTACCAAATTGAAAGTGACCTTCTTTAAGTAGACATTTCAAATACTTGAAGTAATAACCCAAATGATAGCTGTACTAATTGAAGCATGACTTAATTGATAGGGCAGCCACCCTTTCCTCATAATTAAAACAAATTCTATTAAAAAAATAAGTTCCTTGCTAGATCTTACGTGATTGCCGAGGAGAGAAACCTGGCACATAAACTCTATAGAAAAGAATTAATTTCCAGAGTGACTGCTCTGGGAGCTGTGGCGAGGGTGTGTTTTGTGGGTGGAGTGTGGCAGGGATGGTTTGTTTGAAAGGGCTGTGTTTGTTTTCTGCTTCCGTTCGATGAGAGATGATCACTGATTCACCTGCCAAATCACCATGGAATGATTTTGCTGATGTTTCACCTTTTCTTTTGTGCCCCCTCTTTCTGACTTTCCCTCTTTCCTTCAGTGAGCCCCGTCTTCTGGTTGCCCTATTTCATTTCCAGCCTCCTTACCCACACTAGCTTTCTCAGGATTGTAGCCTCAGGATTGGACTTACCTGTTTGGCTGTATGGCTACAAGTGCTCTACTTAGAAAAGCCTTAGGTAAATATATCATGCTAAAGGTTATTCATGGACACTAGTCAGCTGTGCCTGACTCTGGAGTGTTACCATTTTCACAAAGCACTATGAGTGGTTTAACCTCAGGGAATATTCCTTTTGTTTGAGGTAGCTGTATTTTTTTGATCCTGAAGTCTGGACACTCACGGGCTTGTTTCAGCTTTGCCAGGTTAGACCACATCTCTAAAGTGTGTACCTCATCTCTAAAAGTGTTTACCTTTATTGAGTTCAATAAAGAATAAGTAGACCCGACAAAGGAGAAATAGAAAATGTAGCATTGCTTGAATTACCTGATTTCAGAACCTTAAAGAAATTTTTTTTTCGAAGAACAGCTCGTCAAATTATTATTTCAGAAATCCTGCATTGGGAAATCCTAGATAGGCTGTTTGCCCTTGGTTGAAGAGCTTAATTTCTCTGGGCTTTATTTCTGTCATCTCCATATTGAGGTAAATGAAGTAGATAATTTCCAAGTGTCTTTAGGACTTCAAATTCCTTCATAACGGAAAGGTCTCAGGTACCATCCAGCAACCAGTAGAAGTATTTTGGGGCCAAGAGGAGAGCCTTCCTACTCCTTCTAATCACACTATGTAGCCCCACCTATCAGGTGGTTGCAAAAAGGGAATTCTCCCACCTCAGCGAGCGGCTCATGCAACTTCAGCTGCAGCATGGTTGCCCTTAGTGTGTGCAGCTGTTTTATTAGCCTGCCCTTTCCCTTGGGTAGCTGGTGTGCCCATCCTTCCAGGAGGACAGGTGGAGTATCAAGTGAGCAGTCGGAGGGGCCCCTCCTATCTCATACAACCTCGATAGCTGACTCTGCTCTCAGGCAGGCTCCTATTTTTAGCTGTATCTGATGGAGGCACTGTCTTCCCAGCTTAATGATCCCTCTCAGGTGCCATCATGCCTCCAAACAGCTCTCTGGTGATCCAAAGGACAGGTGAGCACAGCCCCTGATATCTTACAAGGAAGAGGCCGGGTGACATAAGGCAAAGTGAACACAATTGAGATACTGAGGCAGTATGACTTCGTGACCTCTAAAGGCCTTGACTTTCTTTCTGTAAAACAAGATAGGACATTCTCCAAAGGATTTCCCAGTTTTAAAAGTCCATCAAGCTTTGGTTGTGAAGGGAGAGAGCAGATGATTGAAGCATCAAAGCCCAAACAATCAAGACAGAGTCAAGCGATTACAAAGCAGACCATGAACGTTAGCTAGTAAATAGTCCACTCAGCTGCCTGGGTACGAGTGCTAAGGGTTATTTAACTTTGGCATGCTTTTTTATTTTCTGAGGAGAAAAACAGCAGAAGGAAATGCACGTGCCATTTTATTCAGTTGAAATTGCCAGCGTGCTCAACTTGGGATTTACATGGGGTTAGCAATGTAGGGGCACACAAGTCAGTACTTTGGTAAACTGCTCCCCAGGCAGGTAATGTTGTGGGTTCAGGTCTAAAGAATGTCACAGTCTCAAGGACTTTGGTGTAGGAGACACTTATGGTATCCAGTTCACTCCAGACTTTCGACACTGCCTGTGCCTTCTTCAGCAAAGTCATCTCTCAGCAGGTGTGGGGCTTCAGGACCATGGTAAGCAGATGAAAATGAACAAGAAGTTCAGCCTGAAAGTAGAAAAGTAGTTCCAAAACATGCCGGAAGGGCTGAGGTGTAAGGGCTAAATATGTATGTATCTGTCTATTCATGAGCCTTGGTTTTGTTTGCAGTGTCAGCTGCTAGAAACTATTTTTGTCTTTTCCCTTCAGGCTGCCTGAGTCTCCACTCAGGAAATCGGACCCTAACAGAGTAAAGGTCAAAAGAAACCACTCCCATTTGTTGCATTCCCCAGGGAGGTCTTTGATTCCCAGGCTTTGTCCGCATTCTACACTTCTGCAGGATTCATGATCTAGAGGAATCCAAAGGGAAACCTGTAAACTGTATACCCTTTTTAGGGGCAGAATTGGATCATGTTTTCAGCTTATAGCAAATCAATGTACTGTTGCCTGTGGCTCGGCTGATGTGTAGCAGTCTTTAGGCCTGAAACTTGATTTGTAACTTTGCCAATAATGGCAGCTGTCTAAGCCCATTGATTTTGGAAGAGAATATGGATGCTTTATAGGTGCCTTGTAGATTTCAGTATGGGTGAGAAAACTGTGGTGTAGTGTGAGCTTTATAGTGAGAAGATTCATCACCATGTGACTTGGGCACACACCTTAGCTTTTATGGGCTTTGATTTTCTCTTTGGTGAAATAGAGATGATGAATATTGCTTTTCCAGTGTTGTTACAGAGATTGCCTGTGATTTAAGGCAACGCGATAACCACCATTTACTACTTACCCTGTGTCAGGAATGTGATCCTCCCAGGGACCCAGTGAGTCATATTGCATGACCCTCATGTTATGAATGAAGAAACAGAAGCTCCAAGAGGTGCCACTCGCCCTTAGGCAGAGAGCTGGGGAGTGACGAAGGCTGTATAGGAACAGGAAGTTTTACTCCTGGGCAGAAGCCCTTAACTACTGAGCCGTACTACAGCATCGTGTGCAGGTGCCTCAGAATGCTCATTATTGTTTTCATCAGCTCTAGGAAATACATAGTCTCTAGCCCTAAATGGTGCCTTGTCTCCAAACCAGCTGAAACTACTGTTTGTAATATGCTTTATTTATGCTTTGGGTTTCCTTGTCTTTCAGAAGGCTTATGACACTTTTCAGGCTTTAAGTTCATATATTAACCTTTGAAATTAAGGTTTATATATATATATACACACATATACATAGATATATATATATATTTTTTCTTTTTGCAGGTAAAGAAACTAAGTGGAAAAACAATTTGCCTAAGCCTACTCAGAAAACGAGTGAATATCGAGGTACTTAGGCTGGTGAGAATGTAGCTAGATAGAACATAGGTTTCCTAATGATTTTGAAAGGCAATTTCTTTTCTGGCTGCGCTGGCTGACAAAGAAACAAATGGAATGATGCGATGAGGGCTATCTCATCACAATATTCCTGAAAGGACAAAAGGACAAATGGAGCAGGAGCAAGGAGATTCATAGAAGAAGGCTTGCTCTCCTGTGGGCCTTGCAGAGCATCGGTACTTCCCACCTAGAGCTCATGAATCCACTTCCACAGATAAGCTCTTCCTAGCACTTTACTTCCTGGACACACTGAAAAAGTTACCTTTAAGACCTGGCCATAGTTCCAATGATGCCAAATAGAAGAAAAGCAGATAGCTGAGTGGTCAGCTTTTGGATCTATGCTTTTGCTTCTGTTGCCAGACATGCTCCCATTTGAACTCTTTTCCACAAGAGCCTCTGTGATGACAGATGTGGCAGAGGCATCCCTTCCCCACCTCTTCCTGG